TATCACATTTGGTAACTCTTTAAAATATACTTAGTAAAAGCGTTTCCTCACAATCATTTTCATGAAGCGGAGAGAAACCTTATGACACTTAGATTTTTATGGTGTATGTGTTCCTATCCATGTGAATTTGTCAAAACCATAATCACAAGATAAGGTTAGCGACAAATCCAAACTCATATGGACCGAACTTGTTCAATCTTAATTTATTGCCACCTGGCAGCACAAGGGTCTGCCATTGCTTCCAGGTTGTTATGCATGCAATTGAGAACTCATAGAACTCACATGCATAGTCAAATTTAACTGGAATGGCCATAGAAACAAGAATATGTCAACACGATAGGTTACAAACCTCAAGTCGTGTGCTAGTGATTAACAATAAGTTTACTCTTGATTAGTTCTTGAAACTTTTCAAGACCTTTAAGACTCCCACTAACCTCTTGACATATAAGATTCTCTTTGTCACGAAACATTACTTGACAAACAAATATTCAAGATTTAGTGTGGTTTCTTATCAAGACAAACACTTCATACAATTGGTCTTAGTTGGTCTTTGTTTTATCCAAAACATCACAACTTACCAATTTCAAATGTACAAGAGTAAAAAACATTTTACTCTACATTTGCTGATATGTCACTCAATATACAATCTTGGAGTATGACTCTAAGATTTTATTTTGGAATGAAGTATGATTCATCTTAATTGATTTAACCATTTCAACAATTCCTGATTCCTCTTCTTAGCCAAACAGATGCACTAGAGGATCAAATTGTGATATGGTTTTCATAATCATTAAGATGATCATAAAGCACGATACTCAAGTACTCTCCCATCTTTTCAGATTGGAGAAACTTTTATCTTTCTGCCGACTTTGATTCTTCTTATTCGTTCTGCTATACATTGAGACTTTTAAATGACTCAGAATTGTACTTAATCTTGTAAGCATAACCATATTTACTAACTTTAGTAAACCATAACAAATAGTCTTATCGTTCTTTGTGGTGGACCTGATCAGTGCACTACCAAGTGTACTCGATCCCCTAGTCCTTCACTTGACTCACATATACATGTGAACAAGGAATTAGTCTTAATATCCCAAAGACGAAGGTTCTCATTCATCATGCAATACAAGTTGCATGATTCCAAGTTTCTATCCACTGAAAATTAGGTGATGAGAATCTTCCCTTATTTGGTAAATTTAGACACTACCACAAACAAAAGAATCAAAACCATATTGCTAAAAAAATACAAACATCAATTTTCACATATGCCATTGCAAGGAAATATAAAAAAATCAAAACTTTATTTACTTATAAAAGGTGCTGAAAAACTTTTCCTTATAATGCAATTACAAATGAAAACTATGTTATTATAAATTTCGAAGCAATCTATCATAACTCTTAAGCAGCAGCTCAAAAATCCGATCATCGAACCATGCGATCGAAATCCATCTCTTCGCGATCAGACTCTGCATGCCTTTCCTTTAAGCTTCCTTTGATCCTACAAAATATCAAAATGTAATCTTATCACATCATGTATTAAGAATCTAGAAACATGAACTTAATAGAGTTAGATTGTGGATTTACCTGAAGTAGAGTCAAACCTTTTTGACTTTACCTTCTGTTAGATCTTTCAGGTATTCAGGGCAGCTTCGCTTCCAATGTCCCTTCAAATGGCAGTAGAAACAAGTGGACTCTTTGGCATTTGCACATGGAACTATCTCATAACTGGTTTTTCTCTTATGGTCAAATCTTTTTTACCATAGCCAATTCCCTTCCCATAGGAGAAGGGATCTTTTCTGGACTATCTATGTCATTGCCTATGTCCATGGCAGCTTGGGAAGTAGATCTTCCAATCAAATTTGCTAGACCATTGCGCCAAATCATTGCTGATTCAGCAACAATAAGCAAATAGGTAAGATCAATAAGGGTCACGTCGCGGTCTGTCATATAGTAGTCTTTAACAAACTGACTATACGACTCAGGAAGTGACTGAAGAACCAAGTCAACAACCAACTTCCTCGGGAAAACAACACCTAACATTCCTAGATTGTCAATGTGTGATTTCATATCCAAGACATGTGCACATACAGACCTTCCATCTTGGTGTTTACTAGTCAATAGGGCTTGAGTGACCTTGAACTTTTCAAGTCTTCGAACTTGTGGGTCAGGGAGAATAATTGGAGGAGGTGGAGGAAATGAAGTATGATATTATGGAATATCATCTTCATGTGGAAAGCTTTTTCCAAAAGATTCGGGAAGACCATAGTTGTCTGAACTAGACATCTACAAGGGAGAAATTCAAGTTAGTTGATTTGAGTCCTTAATATAACACCCAAAACAAAATATTAAGGCTAGGACCCAACCCCAATATTTTACAATTGCAAAGTGGGATGTCGTAATTCAATTGTAAAATATTTGAAGGTAGGTAAATGACGATTTACCAATTTCCACCATGAAAAACGAAATAGATTATTAAGTTTTAATTGGATTGAAATTCCTAGATCCTTTGAGATTCATTGAACTTTTCAATGACATGTTTAAATCTCGATTGTGCCCTTCAAGTTTGTGACTGGGATGCCGAGGATCACAAACAAGGTGTGAATAACCATGCAAATTAGCTTGGTACACCCAATGTTACAAATCATCTAATCAATGTGTCGGTTAACCACACACGCTCCATTGATCTATGATTAACATCAACCTACCCTTTGCCACATATTGTCAGTCCCAGATTAGTGTGTCGGTTAACCACACACGCTCCACTAACGACTTAAAAAGGTGCAAAGTGTAATTTCATGGAATAGCACCATTTTCACATTTTCCTAAAGTAACTAAGATTGAGAATTTAATAAAAGTCTAGTTAATTTATATTTGTCATTATACTTTTAATGAGGGAGAAGTAATGTCCTATCCTACCCGTTCGGCTAACGACCCTCCACCAGTCAAGGAAGCGGTGGGTGAGAGTGGACACCCATTAAACTGCCATTTTATAGGCAGTAACCTTATACCCCCTCATAGACCGGCTTCGTGAATGAGGCCTACTAACGGTAAGACTGACTTGTCTTATACATACATATATATATATATATATATATATATATATATATATATATATAATATATATTATTAAACTTATAATATTATAAAGTATAAAAGTTAAATTTTAACTTTTTAAACTCTAGAGTTTTGGAATTAAAGTTTCATTAGCGAAACTTTACAAATTCCAAAACTTGAGGGAAAGTTTTAAAACTTGTCAAAACTCTTCAATTCTATAACTTATGAGTTTAATGTTGGTTTTATGAAAAGACTCTTGATTTTCCATAAATTGAGGATAAGTTATGGAGTTCATTAAAACATTTATGATAAGACTTTTCATGTTCCATAACTTGAGGTCAAGTTATGGAACTCATTAAGGAACATTTAGACAATTGTCTATTATCTTAATATTTGACAATTGTCTTTTCATTTTCCATAACTTATGAGTTTAATGTCATTATAATGTATGAGACTTTTAATTTTCCATAACTTGAGGACAAGTTATGGAGGTCATTAAAATTCATTTAGATCAATTTTCAACAATTAAAATTATCACATAATTCAAGATTGATCTAGCTAAACTCATAAACAAGATAATATCAAGCCAACAATTTGCAAGCAACTTTATTTATCATATAAATCAACAATTATCTTAAACTATGACAATTATCTTGTAATTGGATGAGAATGATCACTACCATATCAGAAAAAACAGATTTTATGATTCAAAACCGTTTGTGGTAATGATCCTAATCCAATTCTGGCCAAAAACCTCGAATTTCTGCAACCAGAGCTTGCAACTCGTCGAGTGCATGAACTGACTCGTCGAGTTGCTCTGTTTCTGAGTGGAATCGGCGAGTCAGCCAGTGGACTCGGCGAGTCCATCAGTCAGATGCAAAAAAAATCGATTTTTTCAACTTGGAAAACTAACAAGCATAAAGTCTAACAGAAAACAACCCTAATCTCTGATACCACTGTTGGGTTTTGAGCACTATAACACTCTTATGGTGCACATGCAACCCTAAATGATTTGGATCTATGTTTTCTCTAATTATAAATGCATATTTTCAATTTTCCAAAGCATATATCCTAACTAGCATACACATTGTCAAATGAACGATACAACTAGTTAGATGACTTACCTCTTAGAAGGACTTGTAGTTCTTGACCTTTGAAAGCTTGGGCACCTCAAGTGTGATGCCTCTAATGGTTCACAAACACCAATATGCAAGAGGAGTCTTGAGAGAATAAGTTACTTGCACAAAATTTGTCACAACTAGCATTTCTAGCTAGGAAATTATGTTCTTATGTAAGCATCAACCATTGTAAGGCTGGTATCAACGCATTAAAGTTTACATTATGATTCCTAATGAGTCATGTATTGTTATAATGCAAATCTCTCTATGTACCTCAAATATCTCTCAAATCTTCATATGAAGTTTTCCTTACACTACTAGAAAAACAGCCTTTTACGACGTGCAATGCGTGTCGTAAAATGCTCAGACGACGCGCAAATGCGTGTCAAGGAAGACCCTGTCATAACGAGGGACGACACGCTTTTGCGTGTCGTCTATTTACGACGTGCATTTACGACGCGCATTTACGACACACAATGCGTATCAAGGAAGACCCTGTCATAAAGGAAGACGACACGTATTTGTGTGTCGTAACCTTACGACGTGCGTTTAGGACATGCATTGCGTATCATTAAATCCCCTGTCATAAATGAAGATGACACTTATTTGCGTGTCATAATTTTAAATGTTTTAAATATATATATATATATATATATATATATATATATATATATATATATATATTTGATAGAATTACTAATTTTCAAATTAAACAACATATTGGAATTATCATAATACAAAATAAAATACCATACATAAGAGCGATAATTCATTTCAAAAAAATATCACATGTCAAACAAGTTACCTAACATTACATGTCAAACAACACTAAATGTCAACACTAATAACACTTAAAAACATGCTTTTTCCTGCATTTGGAGCACCCACTATTCCTATATCAGCAATCAACTGTAAAAGAACAACATTAGAAGATCAACATTTGCTTCTTCACTTAACCTCTTTAAAAAGCTTCTCAACTTAACTATCAAAAAGAGAATTGGTTTTTAAAGGAAAGGGCTGCAAGGAGATTGTGGATTCATTATTCATTAAAGAAACAAATATATTGTTACCTTCTCCACTTAACCTCTTTAAAAAGCTTCTTTTTTAAATTTTACAAGTGTGTGTATATAGTAAGAGTTGACCACAAACCTGAACCATTATAGGATTAGGATCTGATGGAGATATATAAACAGCTGGCCCAGCGTTTACAGAAGATTCGGCCTGAAATGTTGACCTTAATCAGTTCAATTGTACATGACTAAATGACAATACTTATATATAACTATTATAGTGAAAAGAAAAAAAACATACGGGAGACTCTCCAATATGCAATGTGAGCATTGTACGACCAGGCTCTAGCAAAAGAGCACCTGAATGTTGCATTGCAAGCCCAAACTGTATGGCTTCTGATTGAATTTGGGTTCTCACTGTCATCAGTACAACCTTCCTCTTCCTCCAGCTGTGTTGCTATTTTCTATAAGGACAATTTAAGTTTATAAATCATTAGAAACATGATATAATAAGAATTTATGTAAGAATATAAAAAACATAGAATAGAGAGATAAATAAAGATAAATACAGATAAAGGGAAAAGATTTAGAGATTTAAAATTATTTTTTCACAAAAGCTAAGAGGAGAATAATATCACCTGTAATTTAGGAGCCAGATCAATATACCACACTGACGAAATGCTCCACCACAAACAATCACAGTGATTGATGTGAGACCTGATGTAAACCGACCAGCAGCTAGAGAACACTGATACAAGTTTCAAATTTAGTCCATATAGTTCAAACAATGGCACAAATAGTCTCTATACTTAGAAAAATGTCACTTACAATCGCATCAAAAACTCCATATACACCCATGGCACCACCTACACCGGACTCACCAAGAGATGGCTGAACAAAAAACTTTGTGAACTCTGCCCTACAATGAATGATACAAACAGAATCCAAGGTTAACTGAAGAAAAATGAAATGGAAATTTTATATTGATAGTATTGTAAGTTGACTTATGCATACCACACAAATGCTTATTGTAGACCTACATATGCGATAAGTGGGACAATTAATAACATCCTTATGTCACATACAGGAGTTAGCACATGCTTCCATAAATATATTAGGAAAGAATAGAAACTAAGAGAGGAATCTCTTTGTTCTTCTGTTTCTTCATTGTCCCTTTTCTTTAAGAAAGCCATTAGAAAAGTTCCCAATGTCATGTTGCCAAGAAAGACAGTGAAAAATAAAGTTGTTCCACTCGTACTTCCCTCCTGCAAACAATTAAAAAAAATAGGTAGTGGTTGTTAGAAGCAAATTTAATGGGATCAATTTAGTTATAGATTCTTACGGTTCCATCCTTCAACAGAAAAAGAGTCAAAAGATTTCCAACTAGCTAAAAAACCAATACAAAGAGAAATTAGTTTATCAGTTCACATCATTAATAAATAATTAACTTTAAAGTGGGTACCCGCTTTTGGAACCGCAACCGCCTCGGAACTGCCAGTTCCGGTTCCGGTTCCTAAAGTTTTGGAACCGCCGTAAGCGGTTCCGGTTCTCATTTTTTAAGAACTGCTACCCGTTAATTGGAACTGGTTTATATATATATATATATATATATATATATATATATATATATATATATATATATATATATATATATAAATGAATCAATAGAAAAAAAACAAAGTATCTGACTTAACATACACACGATTGCAAATGGAAAAGACTTTACTGTAATGTGTTAGTTCAAACGGATGTATATTATATATGTGTTTATTGTGCTTTTCAAAAAAAATATATATATGTAATGTTTGTTTTATGTAATATGTTTGTGTACTCTATGCGTGAAGTGTGTTGTGTATTATAAATTTAGTATTTAATATGTGTGTTACTTGAAGGAAAGAACAAACGACGTAAGGGAACAAAGGAAAGAAATGGTTGTGAAGCTATCCCACATCGGTGGGTGAAAACAAATTTGACTGGGAATTGCCTTATAAAACGATAGCTAGAGTGATGCATAGAATAAAACTTTTGGCTCTCTTGGCTGGCTCTATTGAGTTGGCTGTCATTTATAGACTTTATTAGTCTAATTTTTTATTGCATTTGGTCTAATTAGAAATGAAGTGAACCATGTTTTGTATTGACAAAACTTAAAAAATTTGATGTAAGCGGATTACCCGGTCTCGGAACCGGAGCCGCCGGTTCCGGGACTGGTTTCAAAAATGTAAGAATCGTATAGATTGGTTCCGGTTCCAGTTCTAATTTTATAGGAACCACCGGTTCCGGCCAAATGAGGCGGGTATCCTTGATATTGAAACCAGTGTTAGCAGAAGGTGGAAGAACAGACTCATTCGCATTACAATGATTTTATTTGGAAGAACATACTCATTCACATAACACAATCTAACATACACACACTCACAAATTTTTTAATTTTTTTTTCAAATACCTGAATCATTCCATCCTCTAAGATTTCTGCTACATTGCTGAAGAATCCATGAGTATACTCACGAAGTTTATATTTAGTTACCAGTCAAACTCAAAAACACATGAAAATATAAAGGTTTAGATGGAAATAAAGAGAGGGGTATTACGGTAAATGCGACTTCAATGAAAGGAGGTAAAATCGGTTCCATTCTTGCCCTTCCCACAACCTGAAAAAAAAAATTAAAATTAAAAAAAAGATAGTGAATATTGAATATTCTAACTTGATGAAGCCTAAAGAGGACATAAAATCTATCATTCCCATAAAAGACATGCAAATCTTTTGTTTCACCATTATCACATAAAGGAGCTGCAACACGTTTTGCCAATGGCTTGGCAGTTGACAAAAATTGCTCAAACAGGGGCAAAATCGTCAAATCACCACTACCACCACCATCCTCCTCCACGCCCTCAACCTCCCCTTCACTCTCTGCCTTACCATCACCATCACCATCTGATCAAAATCTTAATGCTAGATTGTTATTTCTTCACGAATCTTATCAGCTTCAGCTTCAGCAATGTTGGATGATATAAGCTCACTGTACATTCTGAGCAACACATGAAAATATTAAATATTGGATTGGGATTAGGATTTAACCATTTGATTAAAAAAAGGCATTGGAATTTGAAACTAAACATACTTGTAGACATTAAGCATGTCAAAAAAGATGAGTGTTATTTTGAGATAAAAAATGTGTCTCGAGTGCAGTGGCAGCACTTGTGTTTGTTTGTAGGATATTAAGCACAGTCCTACTACAATTTACAATTTCCAACCCATATGCCATCAGAAACCGTGGGACTTATTTGTTTCAAAAAAAAGTTGTAGGGGCTGATTTGCCAATAACAGATATATACATCTACATGTCTTCTATCCCAAACTTGCTGCTGCTGATTTTACACAGCTACTGATGCCTATACTTGAAGATGAAGATGACAGAGCATGCACAAGTTTATCCTTTAGATGAGCCAGAGTCACCTGGCAAGCATATCATGATTTGGAAGTCAGATTATGATTATGAAATTAAAACTTAAGAGTATGTTTTGTTTAAGGTTTGAATCTCCTAAGTCAAACTGAAACCCTTGTTACTTTTCTTTATGAATGGATATCTATTATCTAACCAAGAAGATATTAGTGATCTTCACATCTTTACCAAATAGCATACATAAACAATCCAACAGCTTACCAATTTTACGCCCTTACCAAAATGCCCAAATAGTGAATTAAATATAGGCCGATTGAAACAGAATTATAAACATGAGAAATTTATCAGAATTAGGGTGGATCAAGAACCGAAAATATTACCTAAGTAACAGACTTGTCATGGGCATAGTGAAGGAGACCGGCGGGATGACTTTTCTCGTACTTAAGCTTATACCTTTCTTCCGGAGTTTTGAAATACGTCTTCAAACCTCGCGCTTGTTGTCCGCTGCCGACAGCGTTGTTGTTGCCTGTTGTTGATGACGAAGACATCAATGAATTAGGGTTCGATGCAATGATCATCGCCACGATCAGATGAATAGCTAGTGCTATGTACAGTGAAATTTGTACAGGAAAACGCAGAAAGAAATTGGATCAAAGCACATTGTTAAAAGCAATCATAAAAAGAAATTGCTTCAAAAGAAAATGTGTTCGTGATAGAGAAAATAAATGAGGATTTGGAATAACAGAAGACTAGGGAAGGAAGGATGTGAAAGCGTAAAAGGAAAGACTTAGGGTTCCGGTGGGCAGAGAATGGGTGGAGACCAAAAAACCTTCGATTTCACTAAGAACCGGAACCCTAGTTCCAACAATAGTCGATTTTTTAGCACTATATAGAATTTTAGGCACGAGGCTCCTTGATTTTTGCCGACTGGTATGGGAGAAAGGAGAAGCGCATCGTGGTTCGTTTTTTGGATATTTGACTTAGCGAATTAGAGCGGGGGCAGAGAATGGGTGGAGACATCGGTCGAAGATCAGAGATTTGATGATGGTGTGATGCTGTTGTGGGAGAAAAGAGCAGTGACGGTGAGAGAGACATCGTGGCTCTCCGATTGAAGGTTTTTTTTTGGTATTTGATTGTGAGAGCGAGAGAGAAGAACGATTGAAAGAAGGTAGAGGAGAACATGGCGGCTTTTCAAACTTTTGGAATTTCATTTCCCCCGTGAGCTTCTAAAACGCGTGTCTATGAATAAAAAAATATTAAGCGACGTGCGCACACGACACACATTTTATCATATGCGCCCTCCGTGTTTTTTTGACACTAATTTTAGGGCACGCAGAAACGCGTGTCCTTTATCCTTCAAATTTTATAAGAGATGACATTATTTTTAGGACGCATGCTTTTGCGTATCGTAAATCACTGCGTGTCATTGTTTGCGCGTCATTAAAGGCTGTTTTTCTAGTAGTATTAGTTGAAACCAACTCAAAACGAAAGGAGAAAACTTGAAGGAGCAGGCCCAGTTCTGAACCCCTTAGGTGGCTTCAGACCCTCCCACCCGGACAATTTCGCTTCGGAACCCCCCTATTTTGGAACCTCCTGTTTGGCTCCGGAAGATCTCGCATGCTCCGGACCGAAAGCCTTCGCTGCCTCGGAAGGAACGACTCCGGAATCTACAAAAGGGACTTCGGAACAATGGCTTGACTCCAGAATTGGAGGATTTGCTCCGGAACATGAGATGAACTTCAGAACTTACCAAGTGACTCCGAAACTCACTATTTGGCTCCGGATTTTAGACCATTTCGGACCTTTTCTTCATTTTAAGGTATTTTGACATCGGGAATCCCACCAAACTCGTATTTTTCATAACTTAGACCCTTAAACCCTTATTTTATGCCAAATTTGAATATTTAAAACATATTTTCATAAAATAATAATTAATATTTATAAAAGTATTATATTAAATCATAAAGTGATAAAGGGGTTTGACCTTATGATTTGATGTGATCCCCCATTTCCCATGCAAATCCCAGTAAAACACAAAATAACCATAGATAACAAGGCTTTGTCCACCAGTACTCCAAGCAAGTGTCAAGTCACTCCTTATCCTCCCTATTAGAAAACGTGAACTACTCTTCCTCATATCCCACTCCTCATATCCATAATCTATGAACTCCTAAGTGTGCTCTCAACTTATTCAAGCATCAAGTCATATTCCTTCAAGGCAATTCCTAGAAAATTTTTGTAAGCATCTCATCTTCTTGACTAGTGGTTCTCCACATTATTCTGTAAATTTCATTATATTTACACATAAAACTTTTGGGTACATATTCTTAGGATATTCTAAAGATCAAAGAGTTATCAAACCCTTCAAGTGTTAGAACTTGGAAACTCCTTAACACCTCTTCAAATCATCCAACAAGCTAAACCAAGGTGAGCTTCATACCCCCTACTTTTTCGAGTTTTTATTGTTTTTGGGGGAGGATACAAGTCAAAACCTTGTTTTAAACCTTGATTTATTTGCTTGTTATGCTTGTATGCTAAATTATATGTGTTAAGGTTATGAAAACCCCAAGAACTCGAAATCTTGAGCAAGTCTCAAGAGTTTGAATCATATTTCACAAATTATACAAAGAAACAAGAACTAGTATGTTACAAAATATAAGTTACAAGCTTTTATGACAAAAACCATAAGTATTTACGTCAAAAATTGCTTAAACAAGTATTTTGGAGGAAATGGACCACTTTCAATAATTCACATAGTTTTGAGCCACCTTTTGACAAACATGAGCCTTATTTGACAAATTATAAAATGAAGGACCGTTTTGCCAACATCAAGAATATTGGGTCATTTTGACAAACCTGATTTAAAAAGGAATATTTTCTACAAACGAAAATAAAATATCTCGTCAACGAGTACACCGTTGTTATTATTGTAAATAAATAACGGATTACAACGATTTTGATACAAACACCTGTTAGTATTCTAGTCAGACGCATCTTCACAGTATATATATATATATATATATATATATATATATATATATATATATATATATATATATGTAATAGTGTACGCTTTAAGTCCTGTAAGAGTTATAACCAGAGTCTCCTGGAGGGGGAGCGGGAATTTGTGTATAGATCTATACGGGGTTGACACCCCGCACCTTCGTTGTTCGCTACTGCTAGACCGACCAGTCTAGGGTGACAAATGTCTTAAACGAAACAGACGCTTGAAGAACGTCAGAACAAGCACTCTATCATATTAGTATGGTTATAACGAATCACTTAGAATATAACAGTTATTATCTAGAACTTTACGCAAGTTACACCTTTCGATTATAAACAACTATTGTTTGGATAAGTTAAACGAAGCTTTTGCCACACAAAGTCTTAGGGTTTCAAGACTACTATTTTATACATCAGAAGATATAGGATTTTCCGAGGAAAACGATTTTATATGAATTCGAAAACGATAAACTAAGACACACATGCAACTGTACTCGATTGGAAACAAGACTTACAACTATTTTGATAAGAAAATATGGGATTTTCTGGTCTTCTAACTATCACAGATTTTTATACAAAATGCTTATGAACTCACCAACATATTTTATGTTGACACTTTTCAAATGACTTGTATTCTCAGGAAATCAGTAAGCAGGTAGTAGGATGCGGATTCAAGTTTATTTTGATGTAGTTTGAAATGTACTCAATGTTGTCTCTTTTGTGTAATTCAAGAACATAAACAATGTAAAACAATGTAAGTTTGTTATCTCAATGTGTGATGTTTGGATTTGCTATGTTTAATTTATATTCAATTGTTATGATACTGCACAATGACGTCACTCGCCTCCGGGCGTTTCCGCCGTCCTGGTCCGGGGGTGTGACAGATTGGTATCAGAGCATTGTTTATAGTGAACTAGTATATCTAGCCATACAAGATATACAACTATAAATACAATGGGACTAAAACACTCTGACTAAAAGTATACATACTTGCTAGAACCGTATCATAACAGGAGCAAAACAAAAGAACTTAAAGGTTGAACACTACAGTCAAACCTGAACAGTTATTTAATCATATCTGGGATAAATATAGCCTGATCAACTATATTTATTTGAGATATGACCAACATGTGTTTGGGAGTGGTAGTGGTGTTGCAACAAGTCTAAAACTTCCAAACTCATTATCCAAAAGTTTTAAGAGCCAAACCTAAACAATTAAAATACTATAGGAATATTTTGGAGCCTATTTACACATACTCTCCTTACACGTTTCTCACCCCTCGTGCAGACGCTATGGCTAGATTTCATCATTCTGGAGATCCCTATTTCCCCAACCAGGGGAATGGTGGATGGTTAGAGCCAGAGGAAGAACCCGAGGAGGAACTAGAAGAAGAGCCTGTGGGAGGACCGGCAGAACCGGTGGCCGACTCGGACGGGGAAGAGGATGGCAGTGACGCAGATGACTCAGACGCTGAGTCCGAAGTTATCAATCTGCCTTATATGGCAAGGGTGCCCCCATACCGGATGGGTCCCAATGGTCCTATGCCCCCATAGGCGCACGAGATCTAGAGGTGGAGTCTTCAACAAGGAGTACGACCTCCATTTGGTATCAATCGGGACTACTACGACCTAAGTCACGGTGGACCTGCAGACCGAGCCCTGCCGATGATGGTAAGAAGGACACGCGACATTGGCGAGCAGACACAGGCAACTGCCGGCCAGATGGTGGCCATGAGGGCTGCGGTTGAGCGCGCGGAGAAGATGACACATGAGGTAGTCAGGGACTACCAAACGCGTCAGACAGCATTGGAAGACCGACTTCAGGCCACCGAGCACCACCTGGCTAGACTTCAGGGCACATCTACCTCGTCGTCAGCACCACCAGACCCTACTCGTCGTAGCTAGTGCCCGTTTACTCGCTACCGCATTGGCTTTCTTTTATGCACTACTTTATGTACTATCGACTACATGATTAAGTGTTTACACTACTCATGAAGTCGTTACTTTGTCAAATTTTATTTTACTTCATGTATTGTATGCCTTATGAAGGTAAATTTTCATGTACTCAAAAGATTATTATCAGTTAAAACGGCTATATATTTTCTCATGATGTGTTACCTGTTATGTGCTCCGTTACTATTATTACATGCTGATTTTATGCACACACTTGCTTGTATGCAACCGAATCACCGATACTATTTTATAATCAAGAAATCGTGAAACGAAATGCATTGGATACTCATTGCCCTTCTGTTTCATGACAGAAAGATGCCGAGGAGACCTATCCGTAAGAATGACAAAGCAGCACCACCACCGCCGCCCCCGCCGGAGATGAACTTTGCGTCCTTCCAAGCGGCAGTTTTAGCCGCAGTGACAACAACTCTAGCCCACATTCAAAACGGAAATAATGGTGGTGGAAATCGCCAAGGGACAGGAAGCTCCCACCAAGGGATGAATCAAGGGCCCGTAAAGGCCTGTACCTATAAGAACTTTTCCAATGCAAGACCCCGCACTTTCAACGGGACTGGAGGAGTCATAGCTTTAA